TTATCACTACTATCATTATTATTTTGGTGTGAAGGTTCTGGGCTTTTGCCTGAATTGAGAATTTAAATTAATAAATTTCTATTAAAAACAAAGAACAATAGTTAAAAAAACCTACCCGCATTATTATAATTACTCTTGCTACCGTTATTTTGGCATGAAGGTTCTGGGCTTTTGCCTGAATTAGGAACTTAAGTTAATAAAATTTAAGATTAAAAACAATTGCAGCTAAGAGAACCTACCTGTGTTATTTCAGCATGAAGGTTCTGGGCTTTTGCCTAAATTGAAAATTTAAATTAATCAAATTCCTATTAAAACAAAAAAGAAAATAAAGTAAAAATAACCTACCCGCATTATTATTATTGCTCTTGCTGCCATTGTTTTGGTGTGAAGGTTCTGGGCTTTCACCTAAATTGAGAATCTAAATCAATACAATTTACATTTAAAAAAACTATAGACAGGAAACTTACTTCTGCTATTAACGTTGTACTGATGTGAAGGTTTTAGGCTTTTGCCTGAGTTGAGAGTATAGTAAATTATAATATTTAAAAACAAAGGACAATTATAACGTATTGTTTTACCTATACCACTATTGCTATCATCGTTATAGTACTGCTCTCCTAGACTTTCGTCTAAATTGAAATTTTAAAATCAATAAAAATATAAAACTATTTTAAAAAAAAAGGATTAATTACCTGAATCATCATCATTATTGCCGCCATTATTGTGGTAATATGAATATTCCGGGTTTTCTGCTAAAATTAAAAATCTTAAAAGAAAAAACAAATAAAAAATTAATAATAAGAGTATACTTACCCATATTACTATCGTTACTGTCATTTAACTCTTGATAAAATCAATCAAAAAAGGTTAGTATAAGTTAAAATTCTATGTATTATAAACACAAAGGTATACCTTCCATATCATCATCAAGATTGATGATAGAGTCGGCTTGAATATTAATGGTACTTAGGATTTCTTTCTCATCAATAATGTCTTTTTCAAATAATTCATTAATTACTGTGCAGTTACTATAGGGAGTATCACCATAAACAAGTTCAAAGGGTGTCTTTTTATATGATCTACACCATGAACTGTTCATAGCCGTGATTACAAATCTTAAACCAAATGACTAGTCATTGTGACCAGTATCCTCCTTCCATTTTCCAAGCTTTTGCTCCAATATTCTGTTTGCACATTTCACGAGTCTTGAGATTGTGGATGCTTAGGGTGTCTATTGATAATTTTGATTGATGGCCATAATCTGACTAGTTCTTTGATTACTTCTGCACAAAATTCTTTCTCATTGTCAGATTGTAGTATCATAGAAGAAGATCCTATCAAATGGAATAAATCAAATAGATATGCAGCGACCTCAATCGCTCTTTTTGATATGAGTGCTTTCGCCCATGAAAAACGGGTAAAGTGATCGTGCATGTGAAGAATGTATTTAAATTCACCATCCGGATCATAAGTCATATCTATTAGATCCATCTAATTATAATAGATAAAAATTATTAATGAAAAGGTATTAATGAAAAAGAAATTTAATAATTTGTAATGACTATCAGTAACATTGACAGTATTTTATAGATAATAGAGAATTTGTAATAGTTATATTCTGGGCAGTTGGATATAAGCAGGACTAAAAGTCCTGCTTATACATATAGTGTCCAAAATATAACTGATTTATGTCCTGCAATTTTGATATAGTAACCAGAGTATAAAAAAAGTATATCTTTAAATCAGAATAACATTACATATATGTTGTGCCTCAGATCGCTTCTCACCTCAGGTGATGACTGAGGCACCTCAGATATCGATCATCAGGTGAGGTACGTAACCTGTCAATTGGTTACCTGAGGTGCCTCGATCATTATTTGAGACAAGATAATCACCATCGCTATCAAGAAACTAACTTTTTAATTGTAAAGATGTAGTTTATAATTACGTCAAAGTGGAGTCTAAAAAGCCTTTGGCTTTTTTTTTTTTAAATTATAACCTTTTCGTCTTTTTTGATGTATTATAACCTTTTCGTCTTTTTTGACACATTACATACTTTCGTCTTTGACATTTCAAAATGGACTGTAGTTTTATAACCCAAGGCACTCTTGATCAGATTCTTGAGGACTATGTAACTAGCCTTCCAGTATCAAAATGTGAAAAAGCATTAATAAACTATGAACTATTGAACAAAATAAAAGATATTTTATTGGATTCTCAAAATCAATCATTATATGACAAGAATACTTAGATCTGGGCTAAGAAGCAGTTTTGCCTTGAAGAGGTGGTTCCCGGAGACTATAGAGTCTTAGTAAAAGCCACAAAAAATCCGGTATTGGTTACTGAAAGGATGTATGAGGTGTTATGGCAAACTCATGAGCAAATTACGCAGCACAGAGGCCAAAAACAAATGTGGAGAGCAGTGCGAGAAAGGTGGGATTGGATAAAGCAGAATATAATCGAAAAATTCATCAATAATTGCACAATCTGCACCGTCAAGAAACTGTCCTTTCACTCCCTAGCCACAAAACCAATAATTGCGAGTAATTTTTTATCTTGCCTTCAGGTAATTCTGCAATTTATAAATTTCTTTTTCATTAATACCTTTTCATTAATAATTTTTTATCCATTATAATTAAATGGATCTAATAGATATGATTTATGATCTGAATAGTGAATTTAAATACATTCTTCACGTGCGCGATCACTTTACCTGTTTTTCATGGGCGAAAGCACTCACATTAAAAAGAGTGATTGAGGTCGCTGCATATCTATTTGATTTATTCCATTTGATAGGATCTTCTCTTATGATACTACAATTTGACAATGGGAAAGAATTTTGTGCAGAAGTAATCAAAGAACTAGTCAGATTATGGCCATCAATCAAAATTATCAATGGATGCTCTAGGCATCCACAATCTCAAGAACTCATAGAACGTGCAAACGGAATATTGGAGCAAAAGCTTAGAAAATAGAAGGAGGATACTGGTCGCAATGACTGGTCGTTTGGTTTAAGATTTGTAATCACAGCTATAAACAGTTCATAGTGTAGGTCACATAAAAAGACACCCTTTGAACTTGTTTATGGTGATACTCCCCGTAGTAACTGCACAGTAATTAATAAATTATTTGAAAAAGACATTATTGATGAGGAAGAAATCCTAAGTACCATTGATATTCAAGCTGACTCTATCATCAATCTTGATGATGATATGGAAGGTATACCTTTGTGGTTTATAATACATAGAATTTTAACTTATACTAACCTTTTTTGATTGATTTTATCAAGAGTTAAATGACAGTAATGATGGTAATACGGGTAAGTATACTCTTATTATTAATTTTTTATTTGTTTTTTTTTTTAAGAATTTTAATTTTAGCAGAAAACCCAGAATATTCATATTACCACAATGATGGTGGCAATAATGATGATGACTCAAGTAATTAATTCTTTTTTTTTAAAATAGTTTTATATTTTTATTGATTTTAAAATTTCAATTTAGACGAAAGTCCAGGAGAGCAGTACTATCCCTTAAACTGTAAGCTTTTCCAGGCAAATTTGCCTGGAAAATTATTATAAATATTGTTATGATCTACTTTTTT